AATAGAGCTGATATTCTCAACCACACTAGCCAACCGCTTGAGCTTCGCTTGCAAAAAAATTTAAACTCAAACGCAAAACAATCTTACTAATCTTACTAATATTATCTATACTATTATAATAAAGCGTAAACACACACTTCTTCGTTGCGTAAGATGTCAGCAATTACAATATATTTTTGAATAATTCTATTTTTAATAAAAAGCCCTACACTTACGTCACCCTTTAGGATATATATTTTCACGCCATTAAACTTAGGCGGTAAATATTTTGTATAAAAACTTTAATGTGTAAAAGAGACCATAAGTTGATGCCAACATCAAGGAAGCAAAATGTTTTTTCCTTGATGTTGCCCGCAAGGTTTGTCATGTCATGTTATTTTGACATTTACTATTGATAATTTGCCAAATGTAAACAATAAATAAAAATTTCATAGTTTCATGCGGATGAAGCCGCACGTGAACAGCTAGTATATTATAATGCGAAAGTTTAGATGGATGGATGAATGGATGTTTGTTAGAGTTTGTAGCCTAAACGACTGAACCGATTTCGATGAAATTTGGCATAAATGTAGAGAATAGTCTGGTAGAGCACATAGGCTACTTGCATTTGTTTTTTTAATTCCGCGCTGACGGAGTCGCGGGCGAAAGCTTTGTACTAGAATAGTAAAACGTCTTTAACATTATGTATTTGTTTATCTTTTCCCAATAATTAAATAACAGTTACTAAACTGGTAACATCCGTACCGGAAACTATGTAATAGGAGCTAATTTTATTACGCACGTGCTAGAGGTTAAGAGAACGAATGTTCAAATAAAACGATATCGGATTGCGAACGGAAAGTTCAAACAATTTTAAAGATTGATTAACTACTTGTTAATTTATGCTGTTAACAGACATATCTAAGAACGCATGTTGGCACATGTTGGTCAAATATTGGCCATATAAGTTTCCTATACTTTATTTGTAACCTCAATTCTAATTCACTAATAAACAGTTAAATCAAACTAGCTTTCACCCGCGGTCTCGTCTGCGTGGTATTAAAAAATAAAAGTAGTAGCCTATGTGTGCTTACAGACTATCCTCTATGTCTGCTAAATTTCGTCGAGATCCATTCAGCAGTTTCGGCTACAAACTCTAACAAACATCCATCAAGCCATCTAAACTTTCACATTTATAATATTAGTATGAAGTATGATAATAATTAAAAATGTGGACGTCCTGTACTTTAAAATTATTAGTGTAGTGTGAATACAGGATGTTATATTTCTGAATTTCTTTAATAAATAAAATTACTCTCATTCTCTTCACACGTAATTCAATGAAACATAAATCAGGGAAAAAAATCCAAAGCTAAACTAATTAGTTCACTCGGCTTCCACTAAGTAATCCCCATTGCCTTTAGATTTTTTTCTTTGTGACATTACACTATAGTGCTTAAATTTGTTAGTAGAGAGAATTCTATTACGTGAATTAATCTAAGAAATTTTCATGTTTGTAACGAAGTATCTCAAAAACTACTTAACCAATTTAAAAAATTCTTTCACCATTATAAAGCTACAATATTCCTGATTAACATAGGCTATATTTAGTTTTGTTACAAAATGTTTAATTGTTGATATTTTCAAAATTAAAATGTACATTACATTCAGTAGACATTATATAAGTAAGCAGATCGTGTACAGTAAATACGGTTTTACAATTTAATTTAAGAAAACAAAGCAATCCTGAATTTGAAAAGCCACTACCATCTAAAAAGTCGTTGTGAATGCAAAACACGTTTACGGCCGCCATTTTCTTGTCCGCCATTTTTCTTTTTCGTTTCCCGCCCGCGAGCTGTCAACTAGTTGACCCTACATTAGTCAACGGGTCGTTTCCACTAGACCCTTGACAGAGTACTGATGTTACGATACTAATGTACTTTTTTTCATGATTCACCAGCATTTGTTTTTATTTTCTTTTTATTCATAAACCCGGGAACATCGTTTTAAACTTAGAATGTGGGCGAGTCTTAATATAGACGTTAAACTTTAAGAATGATGGACGAAGGTGTATTTTCAATTGGAATTGACAATGTATGAAATCATTTGATTAACTGTTTTCATATGTTTCGTTTAATTCACTTTTATTACCTTTCTATCATATCTGAAATACTTTTTCATACAAGCTGCCATTTTGGCCTCATGGTTTTTAATGAAACTTAGTTAGAAACCTATGTATTTTTCTAGTTTATCGTCTAGATTTCTAGATTTCGCTGAAATTTGGTATAGATGCGCGCGGCGTGAATCCACCGAAATGGAAAGCGACCGCTGCC